AAGGAGGTTGCAGTGAGGTGGGTGTCAGTCTATTCTTCCACGTAAGAGGCGATAGGATGAAAAAAAAATGGCCTCAAGTTGCACCAGGGGAGGTTTAGATGGGACATTAGGAAGAATTTCTTTACTGAAAGGGTTGTCAGGCATTGGAAGAGGCTGCCCAGGGAAAGGGTGGAGGTCCCATCCCTGGAGGTATTTGAGAGGCATGTAGCTGTGGCACTAAGGGACATGGTTTAGTGGTGGGCTTGGTAGTGTTAGGTTAATAGTTGGATCTGATGATCTTAAAGGTCTTTTCCAACCTCAATGATTTTATGATTCTGTGATTCACTTACATGCAGTTCATGTAATACCTTATGGAACAAATTGTAGGAAAAAATGTTGTAGGAAAGAACTACAAAATGGGTATTGAGGAAATGAAGAAAGAATCTTTAGATCTTAAAAGTCAAAAATGGTGTGTTAAAACTGAGAAGTAACTTTAATAACTCAGGAGTTCTTCACTGTTTGATGTCATTAGCTGAAAACACTGAAAATGTTTCAATGGAAGTACTTGTCTGGGGAATGATGCATCTTGTCTTTTAGACTGTATAACTGAAAGGTGGAACTTTGAGTACTTTGAAAGTGTCAAAAGTAATTATTTATAATGTACTACTTGCCTAAACATCTTTAGATTCACACACTGGGGAAAATTCTTAGGCCTGATAACTTTATTGAAATTTTTCATTTGGTTATGGAAATCTGTCAATAAGGACCTCTGAATTTCTTATTTCCAAGCAACCTGTCAATGTGTGTTGTCAATTGACTTCCACAGACTACAAGAAAAAGCTGCTGACACTATTGAAGCACTCCAGAAAGCTGGAATTAAAGTTTGGGTTCTGACGGGAGACAAAATGGAGACCGCTGCAGCTACTTGCTATGCTTGCAAACTTTTCCGGAGAAATACACAAATACTTGAGCTAACCACAAAGAAAATTGAGGAACAGAGTTTGCACGATGTGCTTTTTGACCTAAGCAAAACTGTCCTAAGACACAATGGCAGCTTAACCAGGGATACTTTCTCAGGGTAAGGAAAAAGTTGAATTTTTGAGCCAGGAATGGGCTTCTGTGCGTTTCATAAACAAATGATTGCTTGATTATCCTAAGAGCAGCGGCATACTATGTTTCAGTTTCTGTTGTTAAAGTGTGAATTATTGTATGGCAATTAAGTAATACCTTGTTCCACATAAGTTTAGATTTTCATAGTCATGGTTCTTTATGTCATTTCTTGTACTGCTTTAGCGATTAAAAGAAAAATCACAACTGACGTTGTAATTATATGTTTTTCCACTGCGAAAATACTTATTCTTGGAAAAAATTGTTGTAAAGCAAGATACTGTTTCTAACTTTTAAAAAGGAAGCAGATATGATATGTTCCTGTAATCAGAGTTAGTATGTGATGTGACTTTCTTGCTAAGACCAAGGCCACAGAGAGCAACAATGTGCAGCCCTTTTTCTAGGCAAGATTATTCTACATTTACAGACGGGAGACAGGCGACAGTGTAGTACGAAGTCTTCTGTTGTGCATAAAAATACTTGAAGTAACATAAATTATAGAGAAATCATTGACTTCTGTGTATTTTGAATATCCACAGAAGGATAGATGTCGTGTGTACAGAAGAGAAACGTAACATGGGATAAGACAGAAAATGGCGTTAAAAAGCGAAAAAAGGGTATAATGTAAATTATGCCTCATACAGGTAGTAAATTAGGCTACTTATTTGAAGCTTCATAGCTGTTACACATTACTTGCTCTTTTTTTTTTTTCCACTGTAAAAACCTAAGAATTTGGAATGTAAAACATTTTTATCTTAAGAAAAGTTGTTACTGGTCTTCTGGACTTAATAGTACATATCTGATTTGGTTTTCTTTTTAATATGGAACCAGCTAGTGAGTACATTTTATATGCATTTGTAGTAAGTTTCTAGTAAAGGAAAAACAAGCTAACAAGCATTTGTGGTATTATTTTAGCAGAGAGTTTCTATAACACTTACCCTTACAGCTTGAAACTCTGGGCCAGAGCATTTTTCTTGGCTCTCCTTGCACTTCAAATGCCATTGGTCTGATCAAGAACATTTGTATATTCAGCTAAATAAATCATATTTCTCTGTGTCATCTGTACCACATTTAGCTTAAGTCCCACAGGTCTTACAAGATATGTTTAAACGTGCTTGTTTAACTTTTTGTGCAATGCCAATTTTCTAGACGTTAAGACTCATCAGAATTTTTTCTTTGGCTCCAGGGTCAGAGAATGCGAAGATAGTAATAGCAGGATCCTTCCTGGATATTCAAACTCAGGCTGAAAATCTTTCACTGTAATACATCAAACATTCAGTATATTGCCTGAACTTCATAATAGCAATGCATTTTTGGTTGATATCATTGTGTACTAATGCCACTGCCCTTTTTGTGCCAGTGTTAACAAAGGGATGAAAATATCTGTGACCTGCTATTACATATAGTTTACAGTACTTGATATTATTTGTCAAAAATAGCTGGTGTTCTAGTACTGAAGATGGAGATGCTTAAAATATTGAAGTTTCCTCACAAGTGTTGGTCCTGGTGAAACCCACACACTGTAGTATAACCTTGGAGCACTGAAACTAGAGCACAAATAAACCTTAGTGTATGTTTATACAACACTCACTCTTGAGCTGGAGCCTGAGGCTACTGTGTAATGCAGGCAAATGCAAGGATGCTCTGAAATAACTAGTTTAGATGCCACGGAAAACTGCTCTTGTAGAGTGGCCCATCCTCCCCCATTGTTCGACGTATGCTATTGTGGTAAGCTGTGCTTCACGTTACCACCGTTGCTCTTCTAGGAATGCCTCAGTTATTACAGGTATACTGGTAATAGATTTTTATATATATATATATTTTTTTAAAAAATAATATATTGTAATATTGTAGATAACTGATTAGGTATTGAACTTAGCCACCACACTAAACGCAACATACTGTAAATGTAGACAGTGACCTTATCTGTCCAGGCTAACAAGTCTCTCAGGCATTTCTTTCAAAGCATGGTTTACTTCCTTAAATATAGACCCTTGGGGAAAAAAAAATATTATTTTCCTCATCAAAGTAGATTTAAGAGTACTAAAGGCCTTTCCCTTTAATTTTTTTTCTCATTATGGAATGTGCCACAAAATTAACTCTATTTCTGCAACTCGATTTACCTCACTGCAGTTCTTGGAGCCCTTTCAAACCAAACTGAAAGGTCATTAATTATGCACTCATACTGACTGGTGAAGTCATTGACGTATCAGATTTCTGTCTTTGGACTGGTGAAGCACTGAATATTTTCAACATAATCTACAATTTTAAAATGTCATAAATAGCAGTCCTATACAAGGAATTTCCTTTAGAAGTATATTAATTTTGCAGTTCCATACACCTTATTTTTTCATTAATGAATTTTCACAAAAAAACTGTTGCCAAATTTAAAAGTATGTGTGAGAATTTCACAGTGACTGTTAGTTTGTTTTATCCCTGAACAGACTTTCAACTGATATGCAAGATTATGGTTTAATTATTGATGGAGCCGCGTTATCATTAATAATGAAACCAAGACAAGATGGGAGCTCTGCTAACTACAGAGAGCTCTTTCTTGAAATTTGCAGGAACTGCAGTGCAGTGTTATGCTGTCGAATGGCACCTCTCCAAAAAGCACAGGTTTGTATTAATTTCGTAATTGTTTGTTGGCTGTGCACATATGTAAATATTGGAAGTTAATATTCTGTATGACTTAGGATAACTTAAAATGTTACTGTTCACTTTTGTATCTTCTGAAATGGAAAAAGCAAAAAAAAAAAAGGGGAGATGGGAAAATTTCTACTGGCAAGCAATTTAGATAATGGTGTTCTAAAATGGTACCCAGCTGTGCGCCTGAATTTGATTTATGTACACATTGAGCAAATTTTATGGTTGGTACATGCTGATAAATGAACATATTTAATGAACTGAACTAATTGATTTCTTTTTAACCTAACAAGCTTTGAATAGTCTGCTATCTGTTGATACTACAAGAACTTGCATTATTTATTACTGTAGAGTGATATTTCTTCTGTATTTTTAACGTAAGTGGGAAGCCAAGAAAGAAGAATCCAGGTAGAAAAACGTGTGGATTATAATTTAAAAATTCTTCTTGACTGTTGTATACTAGTTTGTATCAAGTAAAAATACATCCTTACCTTACTGAAACATCTCGATATAGCTAAAGAACTTTTAAAGGAAATAAACATTGGAATATACACTTTTTCCCTTTCAAACTGTCGTGCCTTTTTCTCAGTGCTCAGGTACAGCATGGTAGCCCTTATTGATTTTAACAAATGTATTTAGCCAGCACTTTTAACTGTTTGGAAGTTTGTAGAAGTTTTTAGTTGCAGCTGACTCAGTACTAAATTTACAGAGGTGATCATTTATGATGGAGGGATTTGAAGTCAAATTTTTTGACAGTTTCCATGTCAATAGTGTTTGGATATATAGAGAGTCCTACTGTCTTTTCTTAAATAGTAAGAAAACATTTCAGCGCAGAAAGCAGAATCTTTCAGTCTTTAGTTTCAGGATTTCTTTGAAGTTGTACACTCTGAAACCCTTTTACGTTATTAATGCACTTACACAGCATTAAGCAATCTTAACAACATCTTCCTTTCTTCAGCTCTTCTTTCTGTCTATCACTCAAAATAGTTTGGAAGTATTTGAAAAATGTTATTTTATATTTGGAACAATTACTTCTGATGTGAAGAAGCGACTGTGATCTTTGTGCATAGTAGTTGCACTGGGTAGTAACGTTTTTGTGTCTCTTCACAGAATTTCAGCTGTTGGTCATTTTTAATTAACTGTACACTCATGCAAACCGTTAAAAAGAAGAGGTTTTAACGCTATTTTTTTCCAGATTGTAAAATTGATTAAGTTATCAAAGGAGCATCCTATCACATTGGCAATTGGTGATGGAGCAAATGATGTCAGTATGATTCTAGAAGCACATGTTGGTATAGGTAAGTGTGCTTTTTAGAATATGAATTCAAGTGAAATGACAAAAAACCATTTACTTCTTAAAAACGGGCAGTCTCAAAGAATCAGGTTATATGTTATATAGACAACTTTCAGTGAATTTGCCCCAGGAATTTTATGAGATACAGTGGTGATCTCTTATTAGATCAATGTCATAGCATTATTATATAATTTTTCAAATAATTGTGACTTTGAAATACTTCTTCAGTTATTAAACAGCTTCATCACTTTTTTTTAAAGGAATCATTGGCAAAGAAGGTCGTCAAGCAGCAAGAAACAGTGACTATGCAATACCTAAATTTAAACATTTGAAAAAAATGTTGCTTGTTCACGGGCATTTTTATTATGTTAGGATATCTGAACTTGTGCAATACTTCTTTTATAAGGTAGGAGGATGTTTATTCTAATTAAGTCTCAAAAACTTACATGGTAATATCTAACTATATACAGTTTGCGCAGTCAATGGTACAAAAAAGCAACAATTCCATAAAGAGATTTTGCTGAGTGCCAGATGCAAAGCTGAAATGGGATTATTGTTTTTATCCAGACCATGAAGTGAAGTAGCTTTTACATAGATATATTCTGTAATCTATGGTAGGTTTAAAAGCAAAATTTGCCTTGTCTTCTTTTTTTTTTCTCTTACAAATTCAGACTGTTCTACTTATTTTCAGTACCTTCTGGGTTCTCTCTGCAGTGGCCTTTTAAATCAAGTTGGAAATAGTATTTGAGAACTTAGCATAACTTCATTTACATTAGTTTCTAAATTCATTAGGATAGTGTAGGAGGAGAAAGTTTATAATGTGAATCCCCTTGTTAAGACAGTTTTGTTATGTCTAAACGTTGGTATCCAATCAAAGTTCTTTCAGTAAGCAATGGAAGATCATATAATCACAGAATGGTCAGAGTTGGAAAGGACCTCTGGAGATCATCTAGTCCAACTCCCCTGCCAAAGCAGGTTAGCCTAGAGCAGGTCACACAGGAACGTGTCCAGATGGGTTTTGAATATCTCCGGGGAAGGAGACTCCGCAACCCCCCTGGGCAGCCTGTTCCAGTGATCTGCTACCCTCAGAGTGAAGATCATCCTCCTCATGTTCAAGTGGAACTTCCTGTGCTCCAGTTTGTGCCCGTTGCCCCTTGTCCTGTTGCTGGGCACCACTGAAAAGAGTCTGGCCCCATCCTCTTGACACCTGCCCTCTAGATATATATAAGCATTGATAAGGTCCCTTCTCAGTCTTCTCTTCTCCAGGCTAAAGAGCCCCAGGGCTCTCAGCCTTTCTTCATATGAGAGATGCTCCAGCCACCTAATCGTCTTTGTAGCCCTCCGCTGGGCTCTCTCCAGTAACTCCCTGTCTCTCTTGAACTGGGGAACCTTCAGAAGAAAAGTCAAGGTCTTAGTGTTTGGCTATAGGTATAGTTAGCAGAGGATGAAGTTTTGGGTCAGAGCTAGAAACATCTTAAGATTACTTTGCTGGGAACCAGAGTATCTATGCTTGCTTATCAGTTTGTGTTCTGCTGTGGCTTGTACCTGATTTGCCTTGCCTTAACTGAGCTGTGCTCCTGGATCGCAAAATCGATTGCCCTTGAATTTTGAAACTGTACCTTTAAGTTTGCTTTCAAAATACAATAAGTATTTTTCTTAACAGTGCTACTGTAAGATGAGAATGTCGATGTTTAATGTATGCAGTTCTTCCTACTGTTCCTGCAATGTTTACTATTAGTGGTGTTTTGAAACTGTGATATACATAGCTATAGCATTGTACAGCATATCAATTAGTGCTTGTATTTCACTTGACGACTGTGTCACTTTGTCTTTCAGAATGTTTGCTTCATTTTTCCTCAGTTTTTATATCAGTTCTTCTGTGGATTTTCACAACAGGTTAGTTGTTCTTTTTCCCTCACTGCTGCATTTTCTCTTTGGCATTTTTTTTTTTTAAATGGGTCCTTTAACACTGCACCTGTTCAGCTGAGAAAGTGTCTATGTTAGTTTACACGTTGTAAAAAGAGCAGCATTGCTTTTGGTTCATATGGTTTTCAGTGGCAATTGCAGTTAAGTTACAGAAATAAATTTTACAAGTTCTCTTAAAAGCAATGTTATTTTCAAAGTCAAAGAATGCAGGAAACAATAATTTGGAAGTAGCAATGCAGAGTGAAATGTCTGTTAGGTTTAAGCTTATTGAACATGGATGGAGGCAATCCTGAAAGGTAAGTAATTGAACTAGTTGTTCACCTTTAGAGTTCAGAAGGAAAATGGGGAAATAATGGGTGTGCAGGCCTGAGTTGCAAACTTCAGACAAATAGCAGCATTCAATTAGTTGAGAAGGAAAAATAAACACAGAAAGATAGAGGATAAGTGAACTGCTGCTCACCAGAAAAGTGCAATCATTCAGGAGAGGATCCAGTATTCTTCTTTCTAAATTTTTGTTTATTTAATTTTCCCCTTTGCTTTTGTCTAATTTGTGTAGAAAAAGCTACCTCTTCTTTCTTCTGAATGAGGGAGCAAAAAACAGAGGAATTAATGACTGGACTTAGACAAAAGGAGGATTAAGTTTTCAGGATTAAATTGGACAAGAGCAGAATTTAATTGGGAGAAAATAGTAGTGTTGCTTTGAATTTATGGAATGTCTCAAAAGAAAGCTTCAGGAGGAGTAAAAACAACAGAACTATTTTTCTTAGTCTGTTTTGGTTTTGATTTCAAATGACTATTGAAAACTTTGTAAGTTTTTATCAGTCATTGTTAGGATTTAGATATGAAAGCATGTGTTGATAAAAATTTAGTTGTAAAATTCCCTGTTCTTTTAAGGGCTTAATGTAATTCTGAATCAAAAAGGGGCTTTTGACAGCAATTTTTATGGCATAAATGATCACCGATAAACAACTCTTTTTATGGGGTGATGTGTTAAGTTTGAGTGCTAGTTACAATGATGATACATACATGGAACGTAGTTCAGTGGGAAGAAGAATCAAAACCATGTTGGGATGTTTCTTTATGTACACCGTATTGCAGTCACCCACAGCTGTAGAACCTCCGGAGTACTCCTTCTTCCCTGCACATCTCAGTGTCATATAGACATGGAGGCAATAAAAGGGGAGGGTGGATGTGCCAGAGAGGAATTTCTGGCTCTACAGGAATCTGCTGTTTTTCAGTTTGGGTAGTTTGGAGTTGGTCTTACAGTTGAAACAATAGGAGGGGCTGATATGTGGACCGGTCTGTTAAATTGATCTTTTAGTTGACCATTTGTCCTCCAGAAGAATGGGGTACAAGTGCAGAGTTGTGTCTTTTATCAGTTAGCAGCTGTTCAAGGATATTTGCCTCCATTGTGAAGGGGTATAGTTTTGTTTTTTTCTGAAGAAATTGATTCATTCATTGTAAATCTAGTGTCATGCAGTGGATCATGTTTAAAAATTAAAACTAGCCGATTTAATTCTTTTCCATCTACAGACTTTATATGATACTGCGTATCTAACACTGTATAATATCAGCTTCACTTCCCTTCCTATCCTCTTGTATGGTCTAATGGAACAACATGTCAGTGCAGACACACTCAAGAGAGAGCCTTCACTATACAGGTAAAACTAATATATTGTGCCCTAAAGTTTGACTGTTCAGTTGTGGAATCTATCTCTGTTATGACGAAGGTCCTCGGGCTTTCTGTATAAGGTCGCAGTAGAACATCAGATACACTGCAACAGAAGGGTTGGAGACTACATGCACAGCCTATAAACTACAATAAGTACATCTGGTTTTACATGTATATTTGCATACTGCAATCCACACCGTTCACTTGCTACATTAGTGAGTAAAAGCAAAATAGAACTTGCTGTTCTACAAATCAAAATATGATTTATTTTAGTACTGTTTCCTCCAGCCATGGGGAACAGAAGTATTTTAAAAAGAGAAAACATACTGTTTCTTCTATATACATATTTTATTCTGAAAAAAAAGAGGACTGAGTGGGTAGAGTGTTGTATCATAGGATGTGTCTTGTGTGGTGTCCAACATTGTCCTCTGTGTATTGTTGACTGACTTGTGTGTTGAAGTTATGACTGGTTTATATTCTTAACCACTTGAAATACAGTACTTACCAATTAACTGCATGGGGCCATCTAAATTAGGAACAGTGCCCAGTTTTGATTCTTGTAGCTGCAAACCCAAGTGCATTTCAGAGAGTGGTAACAGTAGATAGTCAAAAGGAAAGCACTTTTGAGAGGTAATATTAGATGCCCAAAGGTTAATCAATGCAGTGATACGGTTTTACCTATGAAATTGAAGGGGAATATAAGATATTACTGTTAAAACCCAACACACACACACACAGGGATTTTTATTTTCTTTTCTATATTTTCACTGTTTGTTTAGAAATGGTCATTCAGAAGACCTTTTTGGGTTTTGAAAGCTAGCAGAGATTATTTGGTCAAAAACGTTTAGGTTTTTGTTCTGGGCCAGATGAGGTTATCATTAGCCACATATGGTTTTGCACTGTATATTGGTAATCTGTGGGTAGAAATGACTTCATGTGGTCATCAGACAGTCTTTAAAGTACATATGGTGAAAGTATTGGTTGGGAGTAAATGTTTCTGTAATTCAGGGTTTTCATTTAACTGTTCTGATTTACTCTGATGTGTTTTGTGATATATGCAAAGTTGATATATACTCATTCTGTGGGGAAGAAATAAAGTTGTAATATTTAAATGTTTCTGTAATAATAAAGGGCATGCTAGTGGACAGTTCTATTGTTGACCACAACCTGTATTTTTTGGTGAGAAGACATTCAAGAAATCCAGTTTGACCTGAAGCTTCAACTCAGCTGCAAAATCCTTGTTTCACATGTTCCACGTAAAATTAATGTTTTGATTTGTTACAGTATTCAGCATAAGAGCACCCCATGGGAAATAAAGCAAAGTCTCCAGAGACCTCTAGTGTTACCATTTAAAATCTACAGTGTATCATCACATGCACAGCAAACAGATACCTTCTGTAAAAAAGATTGAAAAGTAAATGGGTGCAGCACAGGGGAATTTAGCATACAGTTGAAATAAGTAGAATTACAGGCAGCAGTTAAAAGGGTTTAGTAAAAATTACATTTAAAAAAAAAAAAAAGAACAGAGAGGAGATATTCAGGAAGGATTTGGATGTGAAGTGGTAGACAGTTGTCGTGTGGAAATGTGGTGGTTTTGCATGCAATCTCTTAATTGTTTTTCCTTCAAAAAGCTGTATAAGTGACATCATTTGTCTAGGATTTTTGAACGTGCTGATAATGAATGCATATGTCTTATTTTACACAGAGATGTTGCCAAGAATGCTTTGCTGCGCTGGCGTGCATTTATTTATTGGACATTCCTAGGAGTGTTTGATGCTGTGGTATTTTTCTTTGGTGCCTATTTATTGTTTGACAACACAATTGTGACCAGCAATGGACAGGTTAGTGTTGGATTTGATCAGTCAATCAAAGGTAGTTTTTTCAATGTCAATTGTGCTATGAACATAGTTTTAGGTTTTTTCTTCAAGGTTTCCAGCACAGATGATAACTGTGTTATGAGTTATGGTGAGATAGATGGGTTATCTGTTTAGCAAAGTCTGAACTATGCAATAGGAATTCTGTGTATGTAGAGAGGCATAGGACTAGATAGAATTTAGGAGAAATATGTATCTTAAATTCCAAGTATTCCTTCAGAATTTGCACAGTAACTTTTCTGTTTTGTACTTAACATGCATCTGATGAATATCTGATTGACATATCAAAGACTTTTGGTAGAGTAGTTATGAATGATCATAAACTAAAAAAAGCTCTTAAGTAATTTAATTATTTTTGACATATGGCAGCTTAAAATGGTCTATCTCTACTTGCTTTGCAGTCACATGAATGCAAATTTTAAGAACTTTTGGTTTTATTTATTTTACCCATTGATATTTTGGTCTATTTTATTTGTGTGCTTTTTTTTTCTTTTTGCTACTTGCTTCTCTTCCTATCCTCAGCTAATGACAACCAGCACTCACATGGTAAGACTATTGTGGATTTGTCATGATATCCATTTCATCTTTCACTGTTCTTTAATTAAACTGTTAAAGAGCAGTTAAATATTTCCTATAACGATTTCAAAATATCACTCTAAACCTATAGATAGAAATGTTCTTTATTGCTACTTTAGAAGTACTTCAAATACAAAGAATTTATTATGTAGAGTATAAGGGATATTAAGGTATATGAGGTGTGATAAAGAGCCATGAACTTTAAAAAATAAGTAGGCTTTTTGCTTCCTTGCATTTTGTTACTTTGTTCTGTGCTTTTCTGTAACCTACATTTTGTTGCTGACTCTCTTTACTATATACAATTTATTACAGTTTATGTTATAAAGTGCTTGAGTGGCTTCAGAAAAGACCCTGAAAGTGAGAGAGAAAATAAACTGTGTGCAGTTTTGTTGACTATATGTAACACAGATGTTTGCTAGAAATGCAATATTCAAATATCATTAAATACTATCTTTGTGACATCTGTCAGGGAAATGAACTTCTAGCGTGCGAGAGAACACTTACTAGAAAGAGCTTTTCTAAGGACGCAATTTATTTCCAGTAGGCATAACTGTACACTGCAGCACTTCCTTTCTTGGCACTGCTATGCTCTCTGTTAGATATTCAAAATTCTGCATCAGCTTGTGTTTATAGTCCTGAAAATTAGACTTCTCATACCTGTACACATTTTGTAAATGGTTTGTATTGCAAATATTCTGACTGGGTTCCGTTTTGAAATTTTAGTCTACTTGTGTTGCACACATTCAATCAAATTCTTCTTGATGAAGGCTCTAAAGCCAGACTAATGCCTAATATTCTAATTTTGAATGTTTGTATCTACAACTAGATACCCATGTTAATATTTGATGATAAAATGGATTGTTTGGTGAGACATTCTGACTCTTGAGTGTCAGAGTGGGTTAGAAAATTCATCGTTATTCAGCATGCATGCTTGTGTGTATGTATAAAACTTCCAGATACTGAGTTGCAATTTTAGATTTAAAGGCTTGAAAATGTTAGTGTTCAGGAATAATCAGATACACATACGTAAGTGTATACATAGATGAATGTTGGTTGGTGTTGATGGTTATTTCCACATATTTAAATCACTCTCACATCTGGAAAAAGTCAATGAAAGATTTGAAGATTTGAAAGGTTTACCACAGCAATGTGTTGTTATGGAACAGGGAAAAGGTAAAGCACGAAAGGGGATAAAAGGGCTGAAGGTAGCACTAATACCATAAATGATAAAACATGTTTCAGGTTAGGTTCCAGACTGTTAAAAGGGGTGCTGAAGCAATAATTTTGAATTCTTCTTTCCCTCTGGCAATGAACTAATCACCATTGTTGCAAAACTAGTAAAAAGTGAAGAAGGTCAGTGTCTTTCACTTAGATTGATGCCTGTGTCAGACTAAAATTTACATACCGTTGAACTTGCTTCCAAACATAATCCCCCCCCAGGTGTTTCTCAGTATTTAAAAATGTGTTTGAAACTGTTTACTTGCTATAGAGTGATATCACTAGAATAATGGAAGAGTGTACTCTTCATCACTGAGATTTACTTCATAAATACCTGCCTCAGTCATTTCCTGGTAAATGAAACTAAAATGCCAAAGAATTACCTCTTATTAATTGTTATTAATTTGTGCTATTGCTCTGTGTATGGTGTTCCACTTTGGATACAGCATCATAGAATCATAGTTGGTGTTGTAAAAACACATAGTCAGAGACCAACTAGGTAAGGAAGGTAAGAAGAAAAGAAGGCACCGTGGAAGTAATTGTAGATTGTAAATGTCATTTTAGTTTACCTATATAATAAAATGTGTTTCCTGTGTGATTTTTTTTTTTTATTATTTTAACACTTGATGCGGAGTGGATTAAATACAATTATTAAGCTGGGTTCCGAGATAGGTAGGAGAAACTAAGTTAAAAGCAGTAACAGAATGGGAAATACAAAACAGCAGGAAGGGAGAGAGGTGAGTAGAATAATGAATTGGAACATGGAAGATCAGCAAATACAGTCACAGAAGGAGGAGGGGAAGTCTTGGGTAGGCTGGGAGCAGAGCATAAAAAAATATTTGTTGATAAAGTAGATGTTGACAGACAGACTTACAAAAGAATGATTAACAGCCCGAAGACAGGAATAGTGTCTTGAGATATTCAATGCTGAAAATACATTGTGAGTTTTTGAAATTCACACCATCTCATATTGCTCAGCTTTGTTGACTATGAACATAGTGTGTAGCCTTATGGAGCCTGGTGTCTCTGTGCTATGGCTTGTTTTCTGAGCCAAAAAGATGGGTAGGTGAAAGGTTTTGTTTCAGCCTGATGCTTTCTATCTAGCCTGGCAAACAGAGACAGGGAAGGTTGTTTGAACTTTTTGGTTTAATCTAGCAGCTTTTACTGAAAATACGGGCGCAAGTGTTCCGTATGCAGCAACTTAAACTGACACTGGACTCTCTGAGAGATGCCAGATATGACATTAGAGTATTGTAACATTTAACTGTAGAAAATTGCATAATTTTAAGTTTCTGAATGAGATTCCTGTCCAGTTTTAACTGCACTGATTTATTTTTTTTTAGGGCACACGAAATATTGTAGTGATGGCATGACCCTTTAAAATTATTACATTACATATCAAAGTAAAAGGTGAAAATGCTGAAGGTTTTGTACACTTCATCTTGTGTTTTGTACTCTTGGTCACACATTGAGTAATTTTAACATAATGAAATGGTTGCTTAGAATAAATAATCTTTCAGACAGTCATTTTTTTTTTTTTTGAAATTATTTTCCATTCCCAGTTGATCAGATTATCTCAGCCCAGCTTCCTACAGATATCTGCCTTGTGGCTGGCTGTGGTCTCCATTCAGAGGTTTTCCCATGGCAGCACATTTGTGTGATTACTTCCCCGTGTGGATCCCCTGTCGTCTAATGTTGGGCAGCTCATACAGAATAACATAGATGGGAAGGGACCCTGGAGGTGATCTTGTTCAACTCCCTGCTTTGTGCAAGGCTAACTCAAGTTGCTCAAGGCTTTGTCTAGTCTTTTTCAAATTTTGAATATGCTCAAGGATGGAGATTCCGTAACCTTCCTGGGCAACCTGTTCCAATGTTTTTCTGCCTTCACGGTGAAAAAATTTCTTCTAATACTCAAGCAGGATTTTTCTTGTTGCTTGAGAGGTCTGTTCTAGTTCTTTGTCTTTGTAGTTCTTCTTCAAGTATTTGTGGGCAGCTACTAGGTTGTGCCTTAACCTCTCCTCCGCCAAAGTCGGTCCTTTAACCTCTCTTCACAGGAGAGCTATAGACTGCTAACCACCCTGGTTGTCTGCCACTTGATCCTTTCCAATTTTTTTTGCATCCCTCCTGAACTGAAGGGCCCAAAACTGGGCACAGTGTTCCAGGTTTAACCTCACTATAGCCAAGTAGATGGGAGTAATAACCTTTCTTCAGTGGCCGTGTTCCTTCCAATATAGCTCAGTTTGCAGTGTCCGTTATGTATAGAGAGAGCACAGTATAGGCTTGTATTCAGTCTGGAGTCCACTGTAACCTCACTGCAGCTTCCTTTTCAGCAGGGCCATTGCTCAGTCGATCAGTTCCAATATGTGGTCTTACTCCTCCATAGGTGTAAGACTGCACTTTTCCTTATTTGATTTCATAAGACAGCTGTTAGCCCACTTCTCAAATCGACGGAGGTCCCTTTGAAACTCTGCCATTCATTATGTCAGCTATTCTCTATTTTCATATCACCTGGCCATTTGCTCATGATACTCTCTGTGTCACCATCCAGGCTACTAACAGAGATATTCAACAGTATTGGCCCCAGTATCACGCTCTACTGTGGTTTGCTGATTACCAGCAGCCAACCAAACAGCAAGTCATTGATCACTAAACTTCTCAGTCTAGTGGTTCAGCCAGTTTTCAACTCTAGTAGTAGTCTGTTACCCAGCCCCTGCTTCCTTATCTTCCAAATGAGAACGATGAGTCAAATGTCAGATGCCTTGCTAAATTCAAAACAGACTGCATCCACTGCTCTCCCTCCTTAGCAACTCCTTAACCTGTTGCTCCCACACTGTTGGCTGCTCCTTTCCTTCCCAAGCTTTGCTGTTAAATGCAAGGAGCAGGTTTTACTTGTGAAGACTAATATCCAGAGTATTGAATACTTCAGCATTTTCTTAAACACCTTCCACTAGGTTGTCTTACCACTCCATCAGTGGACTTATATTTTCCCTTTGAAACAGGGACACCTGTAAATATCCTTTTTGTCACCCTCAACATGCCTCACTAATCTTAGTTTGAGACGGGCTTCAGCTGTGGTTTTGTTCCTCTGTACCCAAATAATGCTTTTATGCTACCTGTTCGTTGCGTGCCCATGTCATCATCTCTTATATGCTCCCGTTTTGCCTTTTTTTTTTTTTTTTTTGAGAAATGTCCTGCTTGGCCAGCTGGGTCTTCTGCTGAAATTCCACATCTCCCTGCAGAAGAGAGTTCATGAGATCTCAGCAGCTGTCTCTTTCAAAACCATTCAGCTCTCTTGGGCACCCTTCTCTTTCATGGATGTGATACTCTGAATTGAAGTCTCTTCTCCTAAAATACAGTGTCCTAACTCTGTTGCTTACTTTCCCAACATTTCTCTGGATCCTGAACCTGTCACCTCATAGCTGCTGCAGTCTAAGCAATCCTCTGTGATCCTCTGTGATTGTATTCACCATGAGTTCGTCCCTCCATCAGCATTAGTGATCATTTCTGCCCACTTGAAAAGTGTTTTTATTTCGTTATACAGGTGGGGAGAAAATCAACCACAATTCAAAAGTGTTTTATCTTAAAATGTATGTAGAACACTTATGTGCTTACGTGGCTTTGATGGTTATCGCATTCTTTCTTGTTACTACTCTATATAACATGCTGTTGAACCTCCAAGAAATTATGACATACCAAGGACAATAGAGAAGGGAGATCGGAGAAAAGATGACATCCAAGAAGACTGATTAAATTACTGCGGTTCATTTGTAAATCTCAGTGATTTGTTAACTGTGCTACGCTTGATTTTTATTAAGAAACACATCTGTGAACCCCAGGTTGAGTGCATTGATTGTGGTTTTTTCCTGTCTGTATGAAATCTGAGGTGTGTACACACAAGGGCAAGAAACCAAAACACTTTGCACTGGATAGATCATGCAAGAATTCAGTATTGCTTAAGTGTCAGTTTCTCATACGAAGCAAAACATAGCTTTAAGAGGTTTATTCTGGACAATTCACGTGGTAATGGACAATGTTACCTATAACTGCTTTGGACCATTTTTTATAGATGTTTGGAAACTGGACCTTTGGAACACTGGTGTTTACTGTGCTTGTATTCACGGTTACATTGAAGGTAGGGTATGATGTATTTTATCCGTTGAAACTTTCTTAGAGCTTATTTCTTAATTGCTTCTTATTACATTGGTTTCTCTCTACAACCATAGATTATCATATTAGTTTAAATACGGATTTAAATTAGTTTAAATACAGATTTTGCTGTCTGTGCTGCCTTAACTGTGCTCAAAACTGAAAAACGTTTAGCTAATTCTGTGTAGAATCCTTCCCTTTTTTCAGAGGGTGTCATCTTATTTCATCTCCTGAGTATTCTGTTGCTTCTAGATAGTAGTAACACCATATAATCTCATTTGGTTTTTTTTTCCAGCTTGCACTAGATACACACTATTGGACGTGGATAAATCACTTCATGATCTGGGGATCACTGGTATTCTACATTATCTTTTCTCTGCTCTGGGGAGGAATTATTTGGTATGAACCCTACTATAAATTGCGTTCCAAATGTTGTTTCAGAAACATGAAGTTGTTACATATTTCACCTTTTTGTCCCAAACAGAATTAAATTTAGCTTTTATATATTGCAGAACTCCCAATAGCAATCACATTTTAAACACATCAGTAATGGTAATTAGAGAATACTCAGCTCTTTTCACTGTATATCTGCTAAAATAGTCTTGAAGAATTTGAGGAGAGGAATATCAGACCCCAGAGTGTCACTGGAGCTGTCTCAGTAGTGTCAGTCAAAAGCAACCCAAGGGTTGGTTCAAGGAGCTCAGGCTACCTATCTGAGGCAAAATGTCAGATTAGGTCACATCTATGCAGGTTAGGGCTAGCCAGCCACCTACTGGGCTTGTTTTGGAGGGAACTAGCTGTAGCAGTCTAATCTAGAGCCAGGGAGGGAACTCACATTGAAGTTGTGTGGATGACCAGGAGTCCTGTGATTGAGCTCATTATTTGCCACCTTATTCAGCAAAGTAGATTTACTGTAGATGTCTGAGCACCTACTTATTCTACTGTTGGTAAGAAGCTTTTCAAGAATTAGTGTAACGCTTACGCATAGCTAATTGAAAGCGTCAGGGGGTTATTTTTCTGTTAAAGAATTCTGCGGACTTGAAACTGAAATTCTTGGGAAGGAGATCAAGTTGAAACAAGTTCAAGTTTGTACTGTGCCTGATTGCCATCAGGAACTTGAATTTGTGTTTCTCACCTGTAGAGTGCCCAGTTACAAGGGTATCTTTTTCTAACCTCTTCTGCTGGACCTCTTCTACTTTGTATACTTAAGTAAACATTTTGAGGGACCAGAAGAAAACAGAGGCTAACTGTTGCGTTGTGATTAAGGTGCTATTTAATTTGGAGTAAGGATTAGTGTTTCAATGTGTCCTTTGTAAATGAGTAACTGTCATCTCCTTGGATATTCAGTAGCCTCTTCACCCTTTTTCCCCCCCTCCCCGTAAGATCAGATCTCAGTTTCTTCGGTGTCAGAATGAAAAGTTTGCAAAAGTGACATTTTCCCTGATAATGTTTTCCAGCCAGCCTTGCTTGTGTATTAGAGATGTGACTATGTAGATGCAGCAATGTATTTTAACTTCATTACTTTTTTAGAATGCAAAGACTTCTATCAAATTTTTGAAACTAGCAGGAAAATGCCCTACGGTACGAGGGCTTTACACTGCTATGTTGCTACAAACTGTCTGTTGATCTTTGCTCTCAGTAAACATGGCCTCTGGTTCCCCTTATGGTACAGTGACAGCATTTTAATGACCAGACAACTGCCATGGAGATACAAAGAAACGTGAAAGTGAATGCAGTGAAAGTGGGGGCAGATAAAAACTGAACAGGTTAGGGAACATGAAACCATCAGACAGGCTTAGGGGAGCTTGAAAGATATGAAGAAAGGTGTGCTCAATGGGCCTTGCTTTGAGGATACGTACAAATGAGTGTGTGATGGGAAAGAGGCAAAGACTTCTATCAAATTTTTGAAACTAGCGTACAAATGAGTGTGTGATGGGAAAGATGGGGAAAGTAATAGGTGGGACTCTGAGAATAAAGGTGGAAAATATGTGGGGCAAGATAAGGAGTAGGTGGAAGAGCATAAACAGGATGAGAGTGTAACTCAGTTTATCTTTGCAAGGAAGAGGCAGCTTGGGAGGGAGGACAGCATGGTATTTCTTGCAGCATGGAAGATGAGAGGAAGGCAGTTCTCTCTAGTCAATGAATGTTTAGATATTTTGAGAAAACTAGGATGAATGAACTCCCACAAACTGCAAAGTTGAACATGCAGTGTTTCATCAGTGTCATAATTTTTATATTTAACATTGCCTGTCTGTCTTTTATGTATTGAAATATAATATCTATTTAATCTTTTTCCTGTTAGGCCTTTTCTCAATTATCAGAGGATGTATTATGTATTCATGCAAATGCTGTCTAGTGGTCCTGCCTGGCTGGGTATAATTCTGCTCATAACTGTCAGCCTTCTACCAGATGTTCTCAAGAAGGTCTTATGCAGACAGTTGTGGCCTACAGCAACAGAAAGAATCCAGGTAACAATATTTTTCATTGTGGAATTATTTTTTTGTATCACAGGTCTCTAATAATTAGACCTCTTTCAAGCTTAGAGACAAGATTAGAGCAAAGATTCCCTGTCTGTGGTGTGTATCTCTGGTTGTATACCAGCTGCTTCTGAGCAGTATGGTGAAAGAGGCCGCCTGTTATTTACGTGGTGGTATTTTCTTGAACCCTTGGGCCTCCCTACCAGCAACCACAGGGAAATCAGCTGATGAGGATGGTGGGAGACAGGTATATGGCTCAACATGATTACTGACTTGAGGAGATGAGAAGGGCAAGGGGATTGGGATCTCCATGAGGGTAGGTAGGAGGCACTTAACATCAGCCTAGACAACAGTTGTTCCTGTTGTTGAGGAGTATTCAGAGGCACCGCCCACACCTCTGAATTAAAGTAGTGATCTTTCATACCAAGTCATCCTACTGCATAAATGAAACTCTAATGTGACCATTTTAGCATTTACCATGCAACCTGAGCGTAATTATCTAAGATGGAAAACAAGCTAAAATTAGCTAAACTCAAAATAAAACTGGTAGGAAGGGAGCATATGATTTTATTGAAGTCCCCTTTAAAGTAGGGATTTGCGCAAGAAGTTGCCATCCTATACCAAGGGACTCTACAACTGCATGGGTGATTATTATTGCATAGAATTTATACACTTAAAATAAATGTGATGAATATGTAGTAAGTTGGTAAAGAATATGTATTAAATTCATGCCAACATTCTTATTGCATGATCTGTGCAATATAATACTTCCTTAGCAAACTATTTTGTACTGATGCTGTGCCTGTTACAAAAATACACATATTAAAACTTATTCATATTCTATTAATCATTTTTCCCTCTTTTATATTTCAACTTACATTTTGCCTGTTTTGATACATTATCTCCACATAAATGTGCCTTTCTGTGCCAATGGGAAGAGTATTTTAAAATCTGTTGTCACCTGATAAGCCCAAAAGGAGAAACTATTGTGTAAATAAAGGCTTGCTCTGATGAGGTTGAAAGGGAAGTCAGGTTCTGTGGGACACATGGTGCTATTCTGGAGTCAACAAACCAACCACAATAGAAAATTTTACCTGTATTTTTGACCCCAACTTTCATTTATTATATATGTTAGAAGGTGAAGGACCGTAGAGGTGTTGAACCTGAAACTTAATGTTATTGTCCTTGTCTTTTTCAGCCCATCAATTGCCACTGTTAGGTTAAAATAATGAGTTACCAGTGACTGTGTGCATAGCAATTTGTTAGCATTTTGATATTTAATTAAGGAGATACTTTGCATTAAGAGGAAAGGAACAAAGGAAATTTACTCCGCGGGAAAATAAAATTTCCTCTTTGGCAAAGGTGAAATATTCTTTTCTCAAATCTGCAAAGTAAACCGCCTTGCCATTGTTTTGTGTTCCTTGAACGTACAGTTGAGAAAATGCCCCGCTTCAGGAGGACAGGAAAGTATGAAGACTAGCAGAAGAGCATTCCCAGGCAGATGAGCATGTAGTGTCTTTCTATTTCACTGTCTTTAATAGATGTCTCTTTGCCATATATGCTTCTTGTGGAAGAAGTTGATCTCAGTATAGGTTCTGCATGCTTAATTTAAAAGTCTAAAGAGAGAATGTGGATAGGTTAATGAAAAGAAACAAGCTAGCAAACAAAAGCCCCAAACGAAGGGATTACTGCATTCCTTACAGACGTCGTGTGTTAGTGCTGGAGGCTGAATCAATTGTAAAGCAGGCTTTGGGCTTAACAGTGGCAATATTATTTTTTTAATATTTAGTAGAAAATCTTTGACTTTTAACCAGATATATCCCTTGTGTTTCTTCTTCCCTCTCTTTGTTTCTTCCTGTCTTCCAATCCGCTTTGTCTAAATAACTGCTACCTTGCTTTAAACATTAATGATGTGCACGGTTGCTTCCTACAATCTTCCGGGGAAATCAGACTAAACATCAGTGCCTTTCTGTTGAGCAGTCCACCATCTTTATGCTTTCTCAAACTTCAAGCAGTCTAAGTTTCTAAAGGAACAAAAGGTGACTTTTTTCTGCCTTTCTGCATGCTTGGCCATTTCATTCAAAGGACAGTAAAAAGTTTATCATCAGAAGTTATTTACCGTACTCATTATCTCCATTTCTGATTCACTTGAACTGTGTTTTGAAGAATACATTTTATTGTCATTTTTTCCTTCTTCTATTTGTTTATCTCAAAGATTCTGTGAATCATTGTCACAATCTGTCACTATAATTTTTGTCACTGTTGTTACTGGATTTTTCATGGTGTTTCTGCCCTAAGAATCTCAGGTTCTTGGCTCCTCATTTAAGTCATTGGTCTATCTATAGGTGAATGCGTGTAATGTTTGCATTGTACCTGGGTAAATGGAATACACTCTGCCACACAAAGAAGTGATAATTCTGATTATCCTGATGTTACTAGCATAATACGGAAAATGTGGTACTGGAAGCCATTTAAGCAATCTCTAGAATATATTAATATATCTGCTTTGCTGTGATAGGAAAAAAAATCCAGCTTTTTTATTAATAAGTTATTTCCAGCATGCATTTTGAAACTGAGCTTCCTTTATGTTCCATTTTATGAAATTCTGTGCTCTTTCTAGAAAGAAAAGAGCTCATGATCTGGAAGTAGATGACATTTAATTTTATATAAAAGTAGAAGAAATGCTAGTAAATCTTGGCTTCCCTACAGTCTGCAGGAAAACTCTATTTCTTTAATACTAGGAGACTGTTGGTTTCAATTGCAGTTTTTATATCTTCATTTCTTAACTGGTTAAGATAAAAAAAATTCATTCCCTCTTTCTTTCCCCATTCAAAAATGTACAGTCAATACAAATGTCAAATGTAGGTCACGGGGAAAATACATAAAGTTTTTTTCAGTATTGAAAATTCTGGCTTAAAATTGGCTTTTAAGTGCCTTAGGATTGGTTTCAGCTGAGCCTTTAACCAAGTGTTTTTAAACTTTCTGCATTCCTATAAGCTATATTGCTTTCTTTGTAATAAAAGGGTTGCTGGAACAGTTGAAGAGATTTACATAGGCTAGCAGCCACCTCCCAGGTGACTAAATTGGTTCTCCTCAGGCAATAAGATTGCATAAAACCTTTGAAGCAATTCTTATGCTTCTAAATTTTTCAATTATTTGAGTCACTCCAGTGTGTGGCAGGTGATTGTTTACAGTCATTATCATCCAGATGTCTTTAAAACATTCCAGATCTAGTTCATTCCAGATCTGGGTTTTTTTTTTAAGGGTGCTTTTCAGTCATGCACACACGCACGCACAAACATATATATGTATATGTGTATACACATACATATATGTACATAGAAGTACATGTATATATGTGCACGTATATTTATTTATATGTATACACACACGTATGAACTGTTGTCTTTCTTGGGCTAAAACATAAATTCTGCAAAAGCTTTGGAGGAATCTGTCTTTTGGTAATTTTGATCAGAATCTGCTTATGTCTCATACATGTCTCAGTGACTCTTTGGCTCAATGAAACAAGCTGAATTTTCTCTGTGCCTGGAAATCGTGCAGCTGTGAGGTTTCTTTCAGCCTGTGCTTTTAAGAAGCAATAGGGTATTTTAATATCTCAAATTTACATTAATTAATTATATTTCCTTTTTCTTTATTCTTCTTTCCATTAATAGCAGAAGCTCAGCAGCTCTGTTAGGGAAAATACAAATTCACTTTAAATTATCCTCTTTTCATTTTTATAATTGTCACTTTGACAGTGCTTCAGTAATCCCAAATATTTTGTAGCTGAAATACCAGGTGTTTATATTTTGAGCTGTAAATAACTTCTGTGCTTTCATCCCTTTTTAAGAAATATTTTTCCTTTTCTCTTCTCTTCTGACTGGTGGTTTTTTTTACTTCACTTTCACTTCAGTTGCAAGATCAGCAACATTACGAGATCTCTACCCTTTGCTGTGCTTGGGGAAACCCAAAGTGGTACTTTTGCCTGGGGAAGCCTCTCTGGTGATTCGTCATTCTTCTGTTCCTCCATGGGCTTAGCTGCTGTTGAACAACTGCACAGGGCTCTTAAGAAAACTAGTCACCAGTAAACTGTTGCCTTTGTCATATATCGGGCTCCTCTTCCATGGAAAACAAAGAAATGGATCTTGCTGTTGCAGTATCTGAATCCCATGGAAGAAGTTAGCTTGGTGACTCCCCTGCCCTCTCTCCCCATGGTGTAATGAACAAGCTGTAAGTCAGGCTTTGTTAGCCCTGGCCCCATCACCTCCATGCATAGCGCTCCCTTCAGTGTACCAGTTGTTCTGGGGAGTAGTGAAGCGGGACGTCCGCTCCTTAATTTGGAATCGATTTGGCCTCATCATATCACAGGGACCTCTCCCATTCAGTACAGGTTATTGTCAGAGGAGCAGGATGCACAGCCCACAGTATTTAGTCGTGGTACAGTTAAGTGATTTTGAGAGTAATTAAGTATTTTTAACAGAGTTTGAAATGGAATTGAAAACATCCTCAGAGTGGCTCAAAGGATTAACCTCAGGATCAAGAAACAAGCTTTGTTTTACACTGAATAACGTTTCCTTTTTAAATCTATCAGAAAATCTGTCACTTTTACAGGACTTTGCTACGATAGTTACATTTGTACCAAATGGTACAATTCATTCACATTTCCCTCTTGTATTCAGCAAGAGTCTCACTGTTTTTCCTCATCCTTGCAGAAGAGTATGAGACATAAAACAGCCCTAAATGCACTGGCGAGCAGCGATGGGCCGCTTCTTGAAGGAAATCTTTCAGCTTCCGAGCCATAATTAGATCAAAGCTAGGTAACAGCACTGTACGTGTTGCCAGTTTGGATTAATTTCTATTGGTGAACTGTGCTATTTACAAATCAACTGTTTCCTCCAGAGTTTTTGGTGTACTTTATCAATATTGATACAAAATCATTGTGTTTTACTTGGAGAGCCTAGTTTTTGCAAGAGATGTTCCGTGATACAGGTAAGATCTTTTTTGTCTTGGACATTTACTTCTATAAGGCAAAACAATGAATCCATACACCCATATTGAAGTCCTACAAATACCT